GTGTGTCTTTATAGTGTTAATATGGGAAGGTTCAAAAAGGAATTTAAATAGACTGATTTCATTTTACTGTATTTTATTATCTGCAGAATGTTGGAGGCTAGTTCTGGGTTTATCTGTAAAATTCAGATAAAATGTGCTCAACAGTGATACCTAGTTTTAGCATATTCATCCTAAAATACGACTATATATGTTTTATGGCCACCTGTGCTGGGCTGATAGTAACTAACTTTGTTTTATTTTTAAGATATTCATGTTAAACATCACTAAAATCACATCAGAGCACTAGGACATCGTGAAGGATTGGTTACTGACAAAAGGGAAACATGGACGAATCATTTGATTCATATCTGAGTGACACTGAATGCACGTGTCGCACTCAGGACTCACCGTTGCTGAGAATTAAAACATCCCACAGACAGCACCATACTGCAGAGATTTCTCATCGTGTAGGCCACTGTTGGAAAAAAATTTGGATGACCTTGAGCTAAGATCTTTCCTTTTGCCTCTCCATTCCATTTATAGCTTTATTTACTCAGGATGTCTGAGTTGGGAGAAGAGCTCAGACAGATCACATAAGCATTTGTTAGGGGTTTAGATCAGAATTACTTGGAAAACTTAGGAAATATTTGTGAACATTCATACAGCGAAATACTCTGATTCACTAGGAAGAATGAAGACGTCTTTACAGACTCATGAGAATGAATGTCAAGTAATAAAGGCAAGATATAGGACAGTGTGTATCTACTATGCTGCCATTTATGTGGGGGCAAAGTGTGTGTGAGGGTGAGAGAGAGAGCAAGGACTTTCTGAAGGATACTCCAGAAGCTGGTGACTTTGGTCATCTTCTGGGAGGACAGCTGGGTGGACGCTGGGGACAAGGGTGAGAAGGAGATGTTTCTCTCTATATTCTGTGGTCCTTTTAGAAACTATTAAATCATACATGTAATATTCTTCCCCAAAACAAAATAAACAGCCCTACCGACAAGACCCCCACGAGCTGGCTTTGCCCATTCCCCAGCAAGCGCAGGTGTACAGGAGGGGAGCGCTGCCGGCTGGCCACGTGTGGCCTCACTGCACACCTTGGCTCCTCGGATGGCTCCTACTCGCCGAGAAGGCTGCACAGCCCAGTGTTAGTTGGGTAATCTTTAGACCTCCCAGTACTTGGATTTTCTGACTTCCTTACCTTGGGACCCGGGGAGCAGGCAGGAGACATGTGGGAGACAGCTGGTCCTAGCTGGTGATCACGGCCGTGGTCTCCTACGGGAGGAAAAGGGCAATGAGTAGTAAGCATGGCAGGGTTATTTAACACGTGTGAATGTTACCTGGTACCGCAGGGCGTTTGAAAAGCGTTTTCTCTATGTTTTGTTTTAAGGTTAGATTGAATGACAGTTCTGTAGAATATTTTATTTTCTAAATCTAGCCAGGTAAAGAATTTGATTAAAATGGGGAAATTGGATCAAGTTGGCATACTGAATTTTGATCTCTTCCCAAATCCTTTAAAATGATGGAAACAAAACTAAAGCTGTGTAAATATAAGTAATACATAGTATTGTTTTCTGTGCTTTGAACATATGTATCATTCTGTAAATTGTTTTCACTAAGCTTTACTTTCTGAGGTTTATATTTTAAAACACAGCTCTAGTTTATTCATTGTAACTGCCGTATAGGATTTTATCATATGAATGTACCACGTAATGGAGTTCAGGCTGTCTTCAAATTTACCAATTTCATTGCTGCAATAAATATCCTTCTGTATGAGAGTATGAGTTTCTGTAGAGTATATACTAAAATTGCTGGGCTGCTTTAAGAATGATTCACATTTCAGATCAGCATGGAGAGGCAGACATTTAATAAGGGGTTTGTTTAAATAATTAACTATAGTTAGTAAATAAAACACAGCTAGACCCCCTACCTTGCCATTATTTTAGAAAAACTTTAAGGTACTAAATGGGTAAAGAACTTTAAGAAGTGTAAGAGGAGAAGGTAGAAGACTTTAAAATTTGACGTAGGGAAGGTCTTCAGAAAGATGAATCAAGTTATGACTTCTGGAGGAAAATATTTGTAGCAAAGAGGTTACACACACACCAGCAAACCCTGGCCACTCCTGCCTCCCTCCCGCACCCTCCCGCACCCTTCTCACTCTGCCTTTGGGCTTCTGTAGTTCTCCCCATGGAGTGCTCTTGTCTTCTCAAGGCTTTGGCTCTAAAGTCATCTTAGAATATAATTTATTACCTGAACTGGGATAGTTTTGAGAAGGAAATGGAGCATAATTAATAGCTGAGCTGGAACAACAGCCATGAATTGGGTCTGTTTCAGGAAATTGGGGCGTACGGTCATCCTAGCTGAGACTGGCGTGCTGGGATCACTCCACCAGGCATGCCTTCCTTTCCCTGCTCCTCTCATCCTCTTTTACTTACAGCACTTTATCATATTGTTTTGTGATTATTTATTGTCTTTGTCACCTCAGAATAGGTGCAGTATCTTGGTCACTGTTCTGTGCCTGTGTTTAAGACAGTGTTTACACAGTGGTATACTGCGTAATAAATATTTGTTGAATATGTATATGACATTTCTGCTTTTGGTCTTGAAATCTTGTGAAGACATGATAGACACATTTGAAAAACTGAGTAGTAATGGTATACACAAATCATACTGTTACAAAACAAAATGTTCTCATTTACAAGAACTTTTTTTGCTCTGATTAAATTTTCCTTTAGCTAAACTTTTTGAAAAACGATTTTCTAAGCTCATGTATTGGATATTGAGGACAGCTCCGTGAGACACATCCTCAGGCCTTGAGTCTTGGGCTGTCTCCGTAGTGAGTAATCAGCCGGGCTCCAGGAGCGGGCGTGCTGGGAGGGGGGGGCTGTGCTGGGGGGGGGGCCGTGCTGGGGTGGGGGCGTGCGCGTCTCCAAGGCTGGCGCTGTGTGAGTTACCGTCCCTCTTGCGAAGGCAGCCTGTACCTGATTTACACACACGCCGGTCGTGTGTGAAAGAGCACCTTTCTCTCCAAACCCTCACCGACAGTAGGCATTCTTTTTTAATATTGTGCTAGTTTCTCTTACTTTTCTGGCATCGTTGATGAAGCTGACTGGCTTCATTAACTTTATTTCCTCTGTTAATCCCATGTTCCTGTCGTGTCTTACATTTTTGTTTTGATCGTTTTTTCCTGATTAATCTGTACATGTATGTTATACATAAATATATAAAAAAATAAAAATTTTACTGTTGTGTGGTTTGTGGTTTGCCATTGTAAGGTGTCTGTCTTATAGAAAAAGTAAAAAAAATTTTCTAAGTCAAAGGTGTCAGTCTTAGGACCATTTGTGCTTTGGGGCACCCTCCTCCCGGTGACTTCTCTGGCCCGCGCTTTGACTCACCTTGGCTCCTGCTCTGGCTGCTTTGCGGTTGCTGAGGGGCTCGATTCAGATTCTGGGAGGAGGTCTGATTGGTACCAGCTGGCCCAGTCAGTGTAGTTCACCTGATAACGAACCTCATGTCAAAGCCACACCCTACCTAGGCGCAGTGTGTAGCGGGAGTGCGGGGATCTGTGTGTGTGTGACCGGCCTCTTAGGACACTGGCGCTGCTTGGCAGCCTGAAGATGGCCCAGTTCTCTGAGCCTGTGGTCCTCAAACTTTTTGGTCTCAAGACTCCTTTTACACTCTTAAAATGATTTAGGGCTCCAGAGAGCTTTTGCTTATGTGGGTTATATATGTTGATGTTTACCATATTAGATGTTAAAATGTGGAACTTTAAAAGGTATTTATTCATTTAAAATAATACAAACCCACATGTTAACATAAAATAACGTTTTTATATTAAGTATTTTCCAAAATAAAACAAAGTTTGATGAAAAGAGTGGCATTATTTTACATTTTTGCAGACCTCTTCAGTATTTGGCTTTAAAAGAAGAGAGCTTGATTTTCATTTCTGCTTCTGCATTCAGCCTTGCAGTATGTTGTTTTGACTGAAGTTTATGGGAAAAAAATCTAACCCCTCACAGATACGCGTTTGGAAAAGGGAAGGGGTTTATACTTGTGTTTACATAATTGTGGATGTTCTTTGATGTCACACCCAAACTAGACAAGTAGTAATTTTTTAAAGGTTAGTTGCTGTGTAGACTATGAAACCATGTCAATACACCTTTCATATTCCTGTCACATTAAACATTTATTGGTTTATCCTGCACCTTATTTATTTAATTGTGGTAAAATGTCCTGGACTTTAAATATTTCTCTCATGCATAATTTTGTAAATCAGTATTGGTCATTTGGAAAATACTGATTCACTGACTTATGCAGATCTTTCAGTTTCATTTTGTAATATCAAAAACTCATATTTGTTAATATCACCACCAATCTTGCCAGAAAAGTCTTGAAAGGTAGGGAAGCCAATCAGGCTCATGGTGGCAGATGCAAATTTTTCCAAAATCCTAATTTTCAAAAAAGAAAAAAAAAATTGGCATTTGTTTTCCTTGAAGTGATGGGCTCACTTTGTTCGTCCTTGAAAGTTCTCCATCCCTCATGCCTCCTGAGGCTGTCATTTGGGGGCAGGGTTATTTAATAAAGACAGTATTTCCTCTGCACAAATGCTTACTTTATAAATACTCATGAATCCTTTTAACAGTTGACCTTTTCACAACCCCAGAATTTATAACCATAGAATCTTGTTTTTGTAATATTTAATGTTTGCTTTTCAGACATTTATCGAAAGAAAGACATTTACTGAATGGTTGCCGTGCGCGAGGCCTCTTGCTAAGGTTTACGTTGCTCTGTGTGACTGCTGGTATTGTGATATGTTAAAGAGCCTTTTTCAAGTGTAGAGAAAAAGATTCATTAATATTTTTCAAGCCCCCAGTAACTTCTATTATGTTTAGTAAATACGTGAGAGAAAGCTTTTACTGCCAACAGTAGTTTTGTTTATGTAACTATAATTAGAAGTTATGAGAAGCCCACCTGGTGCTTTAGTTCTTACCAATTCTGTTTTTTTCCCATCCTGTTCAGGTGATTTCCTAGAAGCATGATTGCTTGTTGGACTTGATCTCATAGCCTGGTGAGGACTTCTTTACTGATAATGTCAAGTTCAGGTTATCCTCCCAACCAAGGAGCATTCAGCACAGAACAAAGTCGTTATCCTCCCCACTCTGTTCAGTACACCTTCCCCAGCACCCGGCATCAGCAGGTAAGGAGCAAATGTGATGCAGATTTCATGTGTATTTTGTGTTTTTCTTTAGTTTTCCTCTTGAATACATTTATCGGTCAGAAACCAAATACAATTGTTACATATGTGTTTTAATGGCAAGAACCATTCTCAAAGATGGGGAACGAAAGTTTAGGGGTGAATTACCTTTGTCTTCTTACCGTGGCTTTCTGCCAGATTTCAGAGAGTGACCATGTCTCAGCTTCTGATTGTAGGAGTTGTTGATAGAAAAGTATCATAGAAAAGTATCCGTTGCCTAGAGTTTCTAAGTTAAGACCCATGTTTATGCTCCAAGTTGACCATAAGTTCCTGAGTGAGAGCCAGGCCCTGTAAGACTTCATACGTGTGTGTGTTTACTTTATGTAGCTGATGGTATTACTGTGCTGTATTAAAGAGCCTCACCTTTTTGAGAGACTTACTGGTAGGAAGGTGAGTTTGTATGATTGACTCACCTTGTGGAAAATAAAGTAGGTGGAATTGTCGACGTGGAGCAAGCCAGGGGCAGGGATGTAAGAGGTCTGGGGGAAAAGAGAAGGGAAGAGGTGAGATGGTCATTTCAGAGAACAGGAAAGCAAATTTCCCAGCACACGTAGCTGAGCGCTGCTGGGTGCTGCTGACGCCGCTCGGGTGTGGTCGTGACACAGAGTGAAAGTGGACACCCTTACCTTGCTTCTTTCACTATTAATATTATAATATTAGATGCACTTGTTTGGTTAAAGAAGTTGCTTTCTGTGCTCGCTTGTGGATTCTTACCACGACTGGATGTTGAATGTTGGCTGTGTGCACTCCACTGATGCTGTTCATCTGATGGCTGATTCCCTAGATGATTGTTCTTGTTGCTGCTTTTTAAATAATCAGCTTTGGGGCTTAGTTTTATATAGTAAAATTTTATTTCATGTGTACATTTTGACAGATTTCTGTACCCATAAAACATCACCAAAATGAAGGAAGAAAACATTTGTTACCCCAGGAAGTTCTCCTGTGCCCCATCCAGGGCAGGCCTCCTCCCCCATGTCCCGCAAGCCTCAGCTCCCAGGGAACCACGACCTGCTTTCTGTCGTGACACATTATGTGTGTCTTGCGTTTCAGATGAAGTTTTTATCTATAAGTGGCTTCTTTTACTTCCCATAATATTTTTGAGATTTATTCATGTTCTGGTGCATCTCAGTAGTTAATTTCTTTTTGTTGCTGGGTATGGATATTCAACAGTTTGTTTATGTAGTTGTTTATTCCAGTTTTTGGTTATTACAAACAAAAATTATTTAGAAAATATGTATCTATGTGTTTGTTGTTTCTAGATTGGATAAAGAAGCTTTGCCTTTTGTTATAGTATCCTTGGGAGAGCATACGTTTTAAATTTTATTAAGTCCGTTTTATTTTTGTCTTTAATATTTCCTGCTTTTTGTGTCATATTTAAGAAGTTTTTGTCATATTCAAGGTCATTGAGATTTTCTCCTATGTTTTCTTCTTAGAGATTTTTAGATTTTATGCTTTTTACATTTGAGTCTAATCAATCTAAAAACAATTCTTATTTATTTTTGTGGTTTTTTTGGGTGGGCAGAGGTAATTAGATTTTTTACTTATTTATATTAATGGTGGTACTGAGGAATGAACCCAGGACCTTGTACATGCCTAAGCATGCACTCTACAACTGAGCTATACCCTCCCCTCTTACGATCTGCTTTGAATTAAATTTTGTTTATGGTGTGAGGTAAGGTTTGAGGTCACTGTTTTGCATATCAGTATTCAATTATGCTTGAAGCCATTTGCTGAAAAGATGGTCCTTTCCCCACTGAATTGCTCTGGCACTTTAATTCAGGATCAGCCTATCATATACGTATGAATATTTCTGTTCTCTCTAGACTGATATGTTTTGTCTGCTTTATCTCACAGCTATGTGATTTTTCTGTGTAAATAAAAATTTAATCTTTTAATAAAGCACTGCACACTGTCTTGATTATTATAGCTTCACAGTAAACTGAAATTAACAGTGTAATTCTTTACTGAATTGTTATTTTAGATAGTTTAGATCCTGAGCATTTCTATGTACATTTTAGAATCAACTTGTCAGTGTCTATAAAAAAGCTTCCTGGGATTTTGATTGGGATTGTACTGAATCTAGAGATTAATTTGGAAGAGAATTGATGTCTTAACTTTGAATCTTCTGGTCCATGAGTGTGGTATATCTATTTGTGTAGGTCTCATTAATTTTTCTCAGTAATGTTTGGTTGTTTTCGGTGTACAGGTCACATTTATTCCTAAATATTTAATATTTTTGATGCTATTGTAATTGGTACTGCTTTTGTGTGTCAGTTTGCAGTTGTTCGTTGTTACTATCTGTATTGATCTTGTATCCTGCAAACTTGTTACTTACAGTTGCTTTTTTATGGATTCCACAGGCTTTTCTATGTAGATGATCCTATAACCTGGGAATAAAGACAGCTTTGCGTCTTCCTTTCCAAACCAGATGTCTTTTCTCCTTACTGCACTGCTGGAATCCCTGGTGCAGTGTCGACTAGAAGGGGTGGGAGTGGATGTCCTTGCCTTGTTTCTGACCCTAAGAGGAAAGCAGTCTTTCACCACTAAGAACGTTGCTGGCTTGGGAGGTGCTCCTCCCCCTGTATTTCCTAACAGAGTCATTGTCGGATCAGTGTTTTTTCTTCCTTAGATGTTTGATAGAATCTAAGCCACTTGGGTGTAGAATTTTCTTTGTGGGAAGAATTTAACCTATGAACTCAATTTCTTTAGTACTTATAATTCACATTCTTTTCCTTTTCTTGAGTCAGTTTGGGTAAATTTATTGTTTGAATACTAAATTTATTAATTATGTCAATAATTATGTCAGTAATTATGTCGACTTACGGCTGTCGTACTATATTCCCTTATTGATTCAGTGTCTGTTAGGTCTGTTGTGGTATCATTGTGTTGACAATTGGTGGGCTTTTTGTCCCCTTTTTTCCTTCGTTGGTGTAACTGGAGGTTTATTGATGTAGTAGATTCTTTCCTTTGAAGAACTAGGTTTAGTTTCCCCCATTTTCACTAATTTTTTTTTCTGTTTTACTGATTTCTGCTCTGTATTCTCTTCTATAATTGCCCACATGTATGTGATTTCTGACACCTTTCTCTGTTTTGTGTACATTCAGGTTTCCTTTTGATACCATTTTCTTGCTGAAGCACATAATTCCTTTGAGGGCAGGTCTTTGGCAGTGGACTCTCCTGGCTTTTCTTTAAGTGGAAAAGTTTGCTTCAGCTTTGCTTTTGAAGATTACTTTTCACTGGGTATGGAATTCTAGGTTGGCAATGCTTTTCTTTCAGCATTTTCTTTCAGCATTTTAAGAGATGTCATTTGTTGTGTTCTGGGTTGAATGGTTTCTGAGTAGAACTCTTTGTTCATTCTTATCTTTGTTTATTTTTATATATCTTTTTTTTTCTCTAGTGACAGGATTTTTCTCTTTCAGTTTGATGATGATGTCCCTTTGTCGTGCTTTCTTAAAGTATGTTACTATCTTTAGCACTCACTGAGCTTTCCGCCTCTGTGTGTTTGTAATTTGCATAAAATCTGGGCAGTTTTCATCCATTATTTTTTCAGATGTATTTTTCTGTCTCCCCTTCTCCAAGTTTCCTTCTGAGATACCAGTGACTCATATGTTAGCTTACAGGTCTGGACTCTTCTTTTTTTCGTCCTGTTTTTTAACCACTTGCTTCATTTTGCTATGTCTTCATATTCAGTGATCTTTTCTACTGTCGCTTCCAACCTACTGTTGATTTCATCCTATGAAAATATCACTGCAGACACTGGATTTTTCATTTTTGATTGGAGTATGAACATTGCTGGCTTTTGTTGTATTCCTTTAAGGAGAGTTGTATTCCTTCTGGTAGGCAGTGAAGTTACTTTTGTCGGTTTCTTTTTAAACTCTCTTAGGGCAGGTTTAGAATAGTCTTTTTCCTACATCTAGTTTATCCTCTGCTTCTGAACTTGTCTCTTTTGGGGTATCTATTGAATGTCTTGTGTTCTGTGAGATTTCTTATCTCTGGCTGGAGGAAATGTGAATAAGTTCTGGCAGCCATGTGAGCTGTGGGAATTGTTTGGCTTATTGCTTCTTCTAATAGTTCTTTCATCAGGATTTTTCTCAGCCCAGCCTTTAAAGACCGAGCTGTGCTGTCACTGTGCACTTACAGATTGGAACTCAGCCCAACACGTAAGGGAACCCAGATTCATATTTCAGGAAATCTTTCTCTGTGTGTCTCCCTCCTTGCTGGAAGTCTCCAGGAATTCTCTGTGTGGCTGTCCCAGACTAGAATGTTTGCTGCTTCAGTGAGCAAGATTCTGGGGCTCTGCTTGGATTTTCTTCCCAAGGGTGCAGTTTGGAAATCACCTCCATGCAGAAAGCCTGGGTGGCACGGATTCCCCCTTTGTGTCACTTTTCTCAGAGGTCCGGTCCTGTGTAGCCTGTTGTCCAGTGCCTGAGGCAGTTTCTACTTGTCCAGTTTTCAGCTTTGTGCTGTCTTTCTGGACAGTGATTCTTGCTTGTCAGTGAAACGGAGGTGCTTTGCTAGTTCTTTCATTGCCTCATTACTCTTCCTTTGTCCTGCTGGGTGCGTCCTTCAGAAATTCTTTTAGAGAGAGGCTGTGTTGGTAAGCTTTCCGAGTTCTTGAAACTGACAGGTACGCAGTCCTGAAACTTGAGCGATGATTCGGCTATTGAACTGGTAGGTTCAAATTTGTTCTCCCCTGCCGTCGGAGTATGTATTCCAGTGTTGCTAATTGAGAAGTCTGCTTTGTTATGACCCTTGTTACTTTGTAGGAAACCAGTCGTTTATTTCTTAGGACTAGCAGTAACGTTTTCCCTTTACCCTTGATTTTCCAAACTTTTGGTGTGTTCGCTGTGGCTTTTTAAAATCCGCTCAGCTTTTGTTTCAGGCCCTTTTTAAACTGAGGACTATGTCTTTTCTAATTCCTGAGAAATGCTGTAGTAGTATTTCTTAGAATACTGCCTCTCACCTGTGGACATTGGACATTGGAGCCTTTTCCTGCAGCTGCCATTGCTGACTCGTCTCCTGTAATTTCTGTCTTGTTCTCTACTGTGGTCTGAGACTCAGATTCCTTTTCGTGCGTCCGTTTGGATGCATTTGTTGTTGTTTAGGATACTAAACTCACTCCTCAGTTCTGTCACCTGTGTCTGTTCTACTGTTGTTCTGTTTCATGGATCAGCTTTTTGATTTCTTTGATTGCTATTTGGTTCTTTTTGAGGATATAATTAATATTTCTGTCTCCTTTTTTACTTTTGCTTAAACTTTTATCTACTTCTTTGGATGTAAATTCTTTATTTTTTGAGTTTGTGTCCTTTTTAAAAAATGGTTTTGTCTTTTCTTCAGCGTTTAGTTTTTCTTGTTTATGTTTTCAGTTTTGTATCTGATATTTTTACTTAGACTATGTATGAATTATCTTTTACTGTTAGTTCCTCTAATGAAGGGTTCAGGACCTCGTATCTTACCCCTTGTTTCAGTCTGGTCAGCTCCACTTTATCTGTTTATGATTTTCTGAACTTTTTTTGTTGACATATAATGCATATAACATAAAATTCACAATTTGAAGTGTCTAATGTAATGGTTTTTAGTGTATTCACTATGTTGAGCAGCCATTACCATTAGATAATTCCAGAGCCTTTCCTCACCAGAAAGAAACCCCATGTCTGATGGTGGTGAATCCCAGTCCCCTTTTCCCTCCCTCCCCCGGCAGCCACTGAGCCACGGTCTCTCTTGATGTGCGTCTTGTAGCCGTTTCATACAACGTATGGCTTGTTAATCTCTCTTTTTTATTTTTAACTTAACGTGTTTTCTAGGTTCGTTGTAGCGTTGCATGCGTTAGTACTTAAGTGCTTCGTTTCTTTCTGTGGTCGAATAGTGTTCCATTGTATAGATAATATCACATTGTGTGTCTTACATATGAGTCGGTGGACATTTGGATTCTTTTTGGCTGTTACAAATAATACTGCTTTAGAAATTTGTGTGCAAATTTTTATGTGTGGACATAGGCTTTTAATTTCCTTGTGCATATACCTAGGATTGGAATTCCTGGGTTATTTGGTATTTCTGTGTTTATCTATTTGTGATTGTTAATAGATTTATTTTGAAAAGAAGCTTTTGCCTTTTCAACAAAAAGTTAACAAAAGGAGGAAAACAAACATAAAAACACCCACCTAGAATGATGTAGAAATGGCTACTCTTAACTTTCAGGTTGATTCTCTAGACTTCTGTTTCTTCCTTTGTAAATCTGAATGGATTCACCTAGATGGCTTCTGAGACCCTTCTCGCTTACCCGTTTTGAATTTAAGGTGGAAACGCTTTTTAGGATTAATGTTGAACACATATGAGTTTGAGGACTTAACTACATGAATAATATAGATAGAGAGCTATCATGCAGTTATTAAAAGAATAAGTCAAATTTAGGTTGAACACGAAATTTCACGTTGAGTTTTTCTGAGTGATACAGTTAAGTTGATTGTTTTGGGTTTGGGGAAAGAATTAGATCAGTGAGAGACTGAAGTCGTCCTTTCTGTTTCTTTCCTCGCTCGGTGGCCCATAACTGCCTTTGTGTGCTGGTAACGTGGTTTGATTTCATGGTGCTTGCGCGTCTTGGTTAATAATGAACTTACCATTGTCCGACACCAGGAGTTTGCGGTCCCCGACTACCGGTCTCCTCACCTGGAGGTCAGCCCGGCGTCTCAGCTCCTGCAGCAGCAGCAGCAGCTCCGCAGACGGCCGTCCCTGCTGTCCGAGTTTCACCCCGGCTCCGACAGGTAATGGCGTCCTTCCGTGTCCCTCTGGGGCTGGACTAGGGAAGGGGGTGTAAACGCCACTTCTGTTAAGCCAGCTGTGACTGATCATTTATGGTTTGTGTCTTGAACTTTTTTATATTTGTTGACCTTTTGAGGTAGGTATCTTAACAGTTAACAAACCTCTCAAAACTTGTTTCCAGACTTCAGAGTTAATGCTGGCTAGTGGGAAGTCAGGTAGACTGAGTTTGAATCCTGGTCAGCTGTATGGCCTTGGTCACATTGCGTAAACTGGTGTCCTGAATTTAGACTGCACATGAGAACCACGTGGGGAGAGTTTGAACTTGATGCCCAAGTCCCATCTCAGCATCATTAAATTGATCTCTGGGTTTGGGTCCAGGTCTTTCTCCTTTGCAGCCGCTGACTTCGACTCATCAGACTTAGTTTTCTATCTGCGAACTTGAGGGTAAAAATGGCATTGTCCGCAGAGGGAGCGTGTGGTCCGGTGATGCTGGCCCTGTCCACGGAAGGCACTCCTTTTCTACAGCGTCCTTACCATCTCTCCTGCTATTTACTCCATCCTCGCTCTTAAAGTATTTTGAAATATAGTAACTTTTTATTTAATCACCTTACTTGCTTCCTTTTTTTTTTAGCAGTTTTATAAAAAACCTGATTTCCTATTTTAAAAACATGCTTTATTGTAGGTATTAAGATGATAAATGGTTGAAAATTACTTGGTCATGCTTCAAATTATTATGAAGTGCATTTCTCGGTAAAGGTTGTAGAGAGAATTCAGATCATTCTTCCCCTACTATGAAGCAAATGTACGAAAATAGTTTTTTAAAAATGGGATGAAAGTGCATCATGCATAAAGAAGGAGAGGACACGGCCGTGGCCGTAAACTTGGAGAGGCGGCGTTCAAGGGCGGAGAGGGGAGAGTCGTGCGCAGCCTGGCTCCTAGGTCCCACTTCTGCTCTCAGGGAAGCAGTGTTGAAGAAAGAAAGAGGTCAGTGCAATGCTGGGTTTCTCAGGAATGCTCCCTAATTTGGGAAAGTGTAAGTGGGGGCGGGGTGGGTGCTTTGCTCGGGAATCCCCACTGTGCCACTTCCCACGGTGCTGAGCCCAAGTGTCTGGCTAGTGCAGTGGGGCAAGGTCCTTAACAAAGGCCGTCACAGCCCCAAGCAAGTTTTCCCCTCCTGTGCCCCATCTCTCTGTCTCCTCAGGCTGTAGAAAAGTGTGAATCCAGTCCTCCGTGTGCAGACAAACACATGCCAGGCACAGGGGATGAGGCTGAGCACGGAAACCCACGCATACTCTTCCACTGCAGAGAAGGGGCTGGGCCGGGCTGCCCACAGGGTGCCTGAGCAGGGGTGAGGGCTGCCGTGGGCAGGGAGAACATGCTCCTCCATGGGAGGAAGATGAAAGCGGTGCAGTGCCCCAGAAGCAAACCCCCGCCTGGAGGAAGCCACGGAGCGAAGAACATGCCTCCGGGTGCCGGGCGCTGTGGAAGAACTTACAGTTAGTGATGGTGCGTTCAAGACAGAATGAGGCAAATGAAAGGTGGGCATTCCTGTGCCCCCAAGCCCACCGTTTTAAATTCAGCATATAAAGTGAGAAGGAAGAAGGAATGAAACAGGTGTGGCTAAAAGTCAGACCTTTGTCGTGGAAGAAAGTCTGGCGATAATCAGCCTGGATGCAGAAGAAAAGTCAGAGGTGGAAGCAAAAGAAGTTGACAGACGTGAAGGACAGATTAAAACCATCCAACTTGTCATCAGAACACGTGTTCTGTGGTGGAGAACCTAGTGAAGGAAAAGAAGTAATGTAATTTTTAAAAACACCCTTTTTCCCCTTTAAAGTGAAGGAAGAACTCTGTAGGTTGATAGGACTTAACCTTTCTCCAGGAAGAATTTACACAGATGATCACTACTGAGACAGATTCTGGTTGAGTTACTAAAGTTTGAGGGTAAGTAAAAGAGTCAGGAATCCAGGGAACAAAACAAACCCTCGAGAGGAGGAAAAGAATCTGACAGAAGCTACAAAGTTTTAAGAAAAAGAAGTTGAGATCCAAGGATTTTTATCAGACACGTTTAAAAGCAACAGGCAGACATTTTTAGACATAAAAGCACTGAGCATCTAAAACTTCTGGAAGAATTTCTAGGGGATGGACTCCAGTCAGACAAAGAATGGAAGCCATGGTAGAAGGACCACAGTAGCTATAATCCCATTTAAGTAGAAAGTCCATATGAGACACCTGGATGAATTACAGTTCCTTGACTGAATGTCAGTGGTAAATCTTGACAAAGTAAAAATAATGTAACTACCCAAAGTTAGAGGTACAATGAGTTTTGGGAGAATGTTTAAAGGTAGGCATTTGAAAAGTGTGCCTGGAGTGATTTGATGACTTCTAAAATGGAAAAGTTAGGTTAAATAAATGTCACCTGCTTGGAATGTAAGTTTGGTGTAGCCATTATGGGAAACAGTTTGGAGATCTGTAAAATAATAAAAACAGACTTACCGTGTGATCTAGCGATCCTACTCCTGGGCATGTATCCGGAGGGAACTATAATTTGAGAAGACACATGCACCCCAGTGTTCATAGCAGCACTGTTTACAGTAGCCAGACAAGGAAGCAACCTAAATGTCCATCGACAGATGGATGCAGAAGGTGTCATATATTTATACGATGGAATACTACTCAGCCATAAACAAGAGTAAAATAATGACATTTGCAGCAATGTGGATGGACCTGGAGATCGTCTACTAAGTGAAGTAAGCCAGAAAGAGAGAAAAATACCATATGATGTCACTTATATGTGAATCTAAAAAAATGATACAAATGAACTTGTTTATAAAACAGAAACGGACTCACAGACATAGAAAACAAACTTAAGGTTACAGGGTGGGAGTGGCAGGGGAGGAGGGATAAATTGGGAGTTTGGGACTTGCAGTTACTAACCTCTATATATAAAATAGGTAAACAACAAGGGCCAACTGTGT